GGGCGGGGCCGCGTGCTCTCAGCCTCCACACCGCCCCCGACCCCCACGCCCATGCCCACCCTCACACCCCACACCCACATCCACACCCACACCCACACCCTTATTTGCTAGCTATTCAATTATTATAGTATCGTTGTATCATTAGCAATGTTTTGATAACACTTATATGGATTTCTATATTTCATGAAAAGCAGCATTTTCGGGTATAAGAATAAAACTACACCCGAATCACAATAAACAAAAAAAAAGAAATTCCTGTTTGTTACACCCACTCAATCGATGGTACTGCACCGCTCGGCAGTATACTTCTGAGACTCTCGATTGATTTGGATTTCAGTCAATGCTCGGTTATTTCTGTAGCATATTCTGTATAGACCGAATTAGAACCACGCATATCTTCTTCTGTATCATGATATGCGTAGCCGACTGTTATCCGACCACTGTGATTGTAAACAATGACTAAAATATATTTGCAACACCCTTGTTGACTTCTCGAACAATATTGAGCCGTGTAATATTCACTCGATGATGCTCCTGCCTGTTCACAGTTAGAATGTAGAGTATTAATAAACATTCGACTTTTCCTATCTGAAAGATTGATCTCTCATGCTTTCGAAGATGAATCGATGTAAGATTTTGCACCTGATACACTTGATAATGTTTTTGAATTAGTCAATTTATTATGTGTGTATTTTACTGGTGCTTCACGCCAAAATTGCTCGCATTCTGCAACATAGGCGCGTCGAATAGTCACTTTTCCATCAGACATTTCAGAATTGTATAAAATATATTGTGTGAATGATCTAAAACACAAGGCAAGCTGTTAAAAATATCTTGCAAAGAACTCGAACCGATACGTATCGAACATATCGGACAATTACCGTTGACAAATGGAAAAACAAAAAAAAACCATATGGGTTCATTTTAACGCACATAACAAAGGAAATAGCAGCGGCTCAGATTAATGAAATGAACATCACAAAAAAAAATTCAATCAGTTTACTGGCGATCTAGTTTAGATGATTCCTGGATTTGTTTTAAGTTAATAAAGTCTTTGTAGCTAATTGTGTCCATTCTCATCAATCTGTTTTTATCATATATTATTGATCCATTCTGTTGTCTCGATCATGAAACGGTGAGGAAAAAGACTTCTCACTAGAATAATGTTCTTGATTATCGTAGTGGAATTTTACCACCGGTTTTTGTTCATGAGATCCCGATAATTGTTGCTTCTGAAATTCAGCCATTGAATTTTTCTTATCGACCATGTGACTGACGATTCCCGCTGTCATTCTTAAACTTTCACGTGCTTTTGTCTTAAACCAATCGAATGTATTTGGACCAGGCAAAATTGCATCTCCACTTGAACTATCGTCTGAAATAACATCCGTTATGGAATGATAAGAATATCCAATTTCGATACGATCCTCTTTAGTTTCAATCAACACAAGTATATAACATTTTTCATGATCTCCGTCGTAAGTATGTTCAAAAGGTCCATCTGATGGCTTAGTAATATAATCAACTCTTCGTAACATTTGTTGAATAAATTCGGCGCTACCATCATGATGATTAATCTCCAAAATATTAGCCATCTTTTGAATATAGCTTTTTGCATCTTGGGAATTGTAGACAACTTTCACATTATTGAGAGTTGTATATCGCCACGGACGTTGCACAGAAGCCTGAGAATTATTTGGAATTAGTTGCTGGTTTTTTAAATGTCCATCAGTTTTATGTGATACACCCGACGGATTGCCAATGACTTGCTTCTGTTGTGATGATTGATTTCCTTTATTTTTTGGATACTGATAACCGGAATTATAAGACATTGCTCTAAAATTTCCGAATGATTATAGTACATACTCATTTTAATATGAAAGTAAACCCATAACGTCTTCGTTAACTTACTTGTTCTTTTTCTTCTCTGTATGGAATTGTAAAACTTGACTACACCAGAAAATAATAAATTAAATGTGGAGCTTTTGATTCAGCTTACTATATATATATATATATATATATACATATACATGGAACAAAGATTATTTACATTTATCGTGTATCTTTCTTCTTTCCTGTGGGTGTTTTTCTACTAGTTTTGTTGGTCTAATCCCATTGGACGATATTCTTCAATTAGTTAAGTTGGCCCGAATTACATTTTCCCTTATATCTGAGTTTATACACAGATAAGAACCTTTTATTATGAGTAAGAGGATGAAAAGAGCATCACTTTGAATCATTCTTATAGAACAACATTGAAGACATATCAAATTGGCAAACTTTAATGTTTCATCAGGTAAGCACTTGAAATCAGAAGGCAAATCTTTGACTTACCCCATAGCAACAGCTTTGAGAAGATAAATAGACCTTTTTCGATTTTTCATTGTTATCTATACAAGAGCACACTCTTGTGTGTGATAGACACCGCGATGACAAAAAGTTCCGTGACACTTGAAAATTGCTCTGTATTTCATCGTTTTAAAGTTGGCTCAAACTTTTTTATGTTTCATATGTCCTCTTTCGATCCTGTCAAATTATCAAAAATTCTTCAAAAGACTTTTTCGGATTGTAGCTGTCAAGTACTCGATCTAGTTCTCTCAAAAACTCTTGTTGATATTTAGTTATTTCAGCTTGTAGAATTTCTCGTATTAAAACTAAATCCATTTGAAGATATGATCGAGATTATGTGGAGATGTTTCGCCTTGAAACTAGTCGCGTAAGATCCTATCAAGGTTGACTCTGAAAAGTACATCAAAATCTGCTGGAAACTTACGAATAGAGCTCTGTTATGATTTTGTCAATTTTTATTCAGGATATGTTCTGAGTTTTGAAAGAAGAATACTGTTGAGAATTATCGTGCAATCTAAGGATTCGCTTAAAAAAATATAACATAAAGCTGCCAGTACAGTTGTTCGTTTAGATAACATTAACAGGAATACATTCTCGTACCGATACATCTATTCACTGTTCGAATTCTCAATAATTCTGTAAAAATTATAAACATTTCGCCTACTTCCCATGCTTCATTTGGGATTTATTGACTCTCAAACCAATTATGGATTCTACTCCAAGTAATGATATGATCATAATTCTGGTTACAGACTATTTAAAATCATGTGAGAATCTTAAAATTTCGTGGTTCCACTCTTATGTAAGAAATTCAAGATTTACAGAACGATTCATTGTTCAAATTTAGTCTTACAACATTTAGGTCACGGACTGAATTCATTTAAAATAGAATAAACAGCTTAGTACTGCGAGGCTATACATTTTTTTTTTGGATTTGGAGATTATCTGAGGCGAACTGCGATTTTGAACTCAGAAGCGGTGAAAGGCACAGAGCAACTTGATTGCATCCAAAATGTGTTTCATTTGTGGTGGATTACGGTGTATCTAACAGAATCTCGAGATTTCCTGAATAATTTTTAGTTCAAAACGAGCAGTAAATCCTAGAAGACACAGGTAGAATTTTGTCTTGACTAATATGAGAATCTCAAAATTCCGTTGATAATAAACTTCTTTCACGTTTTAATCGCTGTCTAGGAGAAACGAAGCTCATGTTTCGTTAATCTTGATTGAACCCGTGACGACAACGGAGCTGAAACATTGATTTTTGACCAGCAATAGTTATCAGGTATATCTTTCATACTTTAGTGGAATAACAAAACAATACTAGATTTATCATAGAAAAAGTCGAAAGGTACAGAAATTTCAATTATCAAAAAATCTATGGTTCTTGCTCACCATGAGAATAGGCATCAACAAAGAAATAAATTAGATTGTCAGACCACACCATCTGCTATTAAAAGTTTAACTTCCAATGAAAAATTTAATAAAACAGGATGAAATGATACAAAAAAATGTTCGTGAATATCAACGAGCTCAATGTATTGCATTACGACAGACTGGTATGTCTTACCGTACTATTGGGACAAATCTTGGCATTTCCAGATCTTCAGTTCAACGTGCATTAGAGAGATTTGAAGAAATTGGTGGTTTTCAAGATCGTCACCGTTCTAGCAGGCCAAAAAGGCTGAATAAACGACAGATCCATATGTTAAAGCATCTAATTCACAATGATGATAATCGAAGTTCTATCCATGAAATAATGAATAGATTAAACGAATCATTGGAGAAACCGATTTGTAGAAGAACATTTGTCAACTATCTCCAGCAATGTAGCTTTCAGTTCAATTGTAAGTTTAAAAAACGGTCTCTGAAGAAACAATATCGAGAAGCTCGACTACAGTGGTGCTTGGAGCATTCTAATTGGACTCTTGATGATTGGAAGCAAGTCTTATTTAGCCATGAATCAACATTTTGCGTCATCAAGCTCAAAAGCACCGAAAATATATGGCACGTAGAAGATGAGAATATGAAACAATATCGTATGGGGTTTGACGCTGCAGATGGAAGTCACCGCGTTGGATTTTGGGGTGTTATCACATGGAATGGAACAGGTTGTTGTAAAATTTACAGTGGAAATATCAATAGTGATGTTTATTGTGATATTTTGGACAATTACTTGGTCCCAACTGTACAGCTATATAGAATGGAACATAATTTTATTTTTCAGTATGGTAATGCTTCCTTTCATAGATCTCAGCCTATTGC